TTCAAAATAAAACGTCTCTTGGAGACAAACATGCTACTCTCACTGAATACATAAGCTTCCTGCTTGCCAGTCTTTGTCACACTTAGGATTGAACACCGAACATCCTTCAAAAGCACTGAGAAGACTTCCTGGGGTGGCATCGGCTGAGTTCCCTTAAAGGCAGTATGATGTTTTCCTGTCTTTGCAAAGGCAAATGGAAAGCTATTCACCTTGGTTAACCTTTCTCCTCTTCCATTTTCAGTGCCAGGTTTAGAACACGGTCTATCACCAGTCCCAGAGCTAGTGCCAGCTACCATGCCAGTTTCAGCATCAGCACCAAATCTAGAGTCAGTCCACAGCTAGAGCCAGCTCCAGACATAAGAATCACATCCAGTACCACCAGCTCTGTCACCTATTCAAGTTGGAACTAGTACCAGTTTTAAGTTAGAGCCAGTCTCAGAGCCAGAGTTAGCTCCATCGCCCACTCTAGCACAGCTATAGAGCTAGAGTAGCTCCAGTGCCAGAGCTGGAGCCACCTCCAGAACCGTTTTCACTTATTGCTATGGGGTGCGGGGAAGAGGAGGGAGAGATCAACCAAAGGACTTATATGCATACACTTAAGCATAACCCATGGGCGCAGTCAGTAGGGGGGTGAGGACATGTGCTGAGGGGGTGGGAATGAGTGGGGAGAGGTCAATGGGGGGAAAAGGATTCATATGTAATACTCTCAACAATAAAGAAGTTTTTAAAAAAAGAGAAGGAGAGATTACCGGCAGCTCCTAAAGGATGTCAATGGGAAGGGGCTCAAAGAAACACTGTGGAGTGAGGGCAATACTTTGTGTACTCATATGTATTTGTTCAAATGGATGGACTAGTTCAGTAATATCTGAGCATGTAAAGTATATATTATAATAAAATATAAGAAGAATGTAGACTATTTAATTTTTTTCACCTTTATGAGTAAAAATAAAAACACAAGAGTAATATGTGGTGATAAATACAAAGAGATTTTCCTTTTGAGTAAATTACTGGGAGAGGCATGATGAAGGATTATTTCTCTATTTGGCTGATAATTTTAGGAATGTATTTCTTGGAATTCATCAATCAGCACTTAATGCATGCTAATGTTGTATGCATGTTATACTTCCATTAATAAATACTTATTTTTTAAAAGCATCATTTGAATCTACCCATGAGCTTCTTCAAATCCTGCCTGCCTGCCTTCTCTTAAAAGGATATAACCTGGGGAGATACCAAGATGGCGGCATAGATAAACACCGAAATTGCTGCCTCCTACAACAACTTCACAAATACAACAAAAAGACAAAACAGACATCATCCAGAACTACAGGAAGGCTGGCTGAGTGGAAATTCTAGAACTAGAAGGAAAGAGAAAAGCACACTGAGTCCCAGAGGAGCTGTGAAAGTAAAGGGCACAGGTACGGAGGCTTGAGCACGTGTGGAAAGGGGCTGGCACCTGAGGACGTGGCTGTCTTTTTGAATTGGGAGGGAGTCACAAGCTCCCAACTGCTCTGAACTCCAGTTCCAGGAATTCTCTGGGGCCCGAGGACTCATACGGGGAGAAACTGGACTGTCTGGCAGTGGGCAGAACTCAGAACTTGAGGGCGGCTTTTCCTCAGAGGTGCCTGCAGCAATTACCA